TAAATGATGTCACTTCCTCTTAGTGATATTTCTTAATGGAACAGCATGGTATTTTAATGCAGAAATACATTAGTGATGCCATGTTAACAAAATATGTTTTAACGTATTAACATTTCCCATAAAGAGGGAAGCATTCCTGTTCCTAAAAATCTGAGATTTATACAATATTCATTGTGCCACTGTATGTAAATGTGAGAAATGGTCCAAACAGGCATTAGAAAATGACTACAGTTTAATGGAAAACAGTTAAAAATATTTTTAAAAAATGAATGTTATTTAATTTTATTTGGCCTCATGCCAACAAGTACACTTGAATTAATGTCAGTTTTATACTGCCTCGTTTTTGCCTTTAAATGTTGTGCACACAAAATGAATAGTTTCCATGAAATGAGCCTAACAGTCAAAGTTTTAATTTTATTTTTTGTTATAAGCCATTAAATACTTTTAATTTGCACTTCCTCACAAGTTTTAAATGTTATCAACCTTATTATGCCATTAATATATTTCCTTGGTTACCCATGAGTCACCTGCAGTTAAATGGTTCTACGATGCATCAAGTCTACAGGTGTAAATGTTAAAAAACTGTTTATAACTGGGTTTTGGTTCTGTTTTGCAGCCCTTTTACAAAAGTTAAGTGGTGATCATGATACATGAAGATGTGTTTCTGTGAATAAAACACCGGTAAACAAACACCAGAGGGATTTAAGATAAGTAAAATCTGTCACTATACGTCCTCTGTGTTTTCCCAGTCACCCTGGTGACCAGTGATAACGCACGGTTTTTAAGGCACGATTATAACAAATTTGATGAAAGCTGACAAGGCAGGAGGCGGTAATCCGGATGTTTGTCGTTGTCAGCTGGTTGCTATAGCAACAATGAGCTGAGGCCGTCATCAGCCTCAGCCAGCTGCGTCAGAGGAGGAGACAACGGTTCAACTGACGACTTCCTGTTTCTGAAAAAGCAGCAGGAGGTGGAGGTGAAAGCAAAGCCACCTTTCACTTACTGTCTGTCACCACCACACTCATCTCTTCCATTTGTCAGTCATTACCTGCCTTCAATACATTTATGGCTCTATCGTTTGCTTCGTATATCTGAATGTTTGTCTTTGTCTCAGTCAGCCCCTCCTCACTCACTCCTTACACCCACGCACTTGCGCTCCCTCACCTGCCGCTACCCTTGCAGGCTGGCCAATAGGCTTCTGAGGTGGGAGTTCCTATGGCAACATAACAGGTAAACAGGAGGTGGAGATAAGGAGCAGGGCAATGGACAGAGAGTACAGTACTGACTCAAGGGTGCAGGTTTGATTTCAAAAGGTTGGGGGAGGGGTCTCACGTCATCAAATGTATTCAAATTTTATCAATGACAGCCTTTTTCACAAATGCATGGCAGAACTACAATAAATATTTAGACACAAATTCAGTGTTTCCGAAATGACACAACCCTTCTTGACACGTTTGTGTCAGTGTGAAGACATTTATTTAAAACCCAGCACTTGCTTTTTCAGCCTCATTCAGGTTTTTTTGGGTTTAGAAGGACAGCTGGTCTTTTAGAGGGGGACAGTTAGGGTGGTGCTCATTTATTTATTAACCTTTTATTAATGTGAATCTGCAAATTAACCAGAAACTATAGTTGTTAAATAAATGTAGTGAGCAAAAAAAGTACACTATTAAAAGTGTAGTGGAACAGAGGTATAAAGTAACAGAAAATGGAAATATTCAAGCAAAGTAGAAATGCGGACAACTAATGTAGTGCACTCAGTAAAGAGTGATTTCAGTCACTTCACCAGCTCAGTAGAGCAGACTGTAGGCAGCCTGAGAGGCAAAACCCAGGGCAAATTCATTACTATTTGAAATACGATGGCTGGACACTCAGAAATGGGCTTAAAAAGACTGATGAAAATATGCAAATGTGCAGAAATCTATCCAGAGTGTATTTCCTTTCATTCCCCACTACTCCTTAACAGATCCACCACACCCTACAGCTGTGTAGCAGGTCAGCACTCCCTCTGCCTGTCTTTTCCCTCTTCTTTCTCCCTTCCTGTCTGGTTCTTTGGTTCTCACCATTAAAGACTGCCAATCTGGTCAGAAGAAGACATAATTGCCATCATGACTTTGACCGCCCTGCACATCACAGTGTCCTGATTGTTCCGCAGGAGGATAGGCCAAACGCTGCCTGCTTTGTACAGACACCACCCAATATTTTCATAGCATGACTAAACATCATCCACACACACACACACACACAAGGTCTTTATCTCATTCTTTTCAGTCGTCTCAGTGTCTCTGTAATCGTTCCATTAAGCACAAGACAAACATCTGTTTCTATAGAGCTGAAAATCCATACACCGCTGCCTTTAAGGAAAAAAAATCTTTCAACTGTCAAACCCTGGGTAAACACACATTCACATAATGCCACCGCCAATGGGAAATTATAGGAGGACTGAATGGAAAAGCAGTGTGTACCAAGTCAGAAACGCCCAAATGGTGTGTATGTGTGTGACAAGTGAGGCTGAGGTTTTGGGAAAGTCGACCTTATCCCAGTTCCAATTCCACTTTGCCATCTCTGCTTCCAAAAACGAAAAGGTCACCATTCCCACTGAAACAAGCACAATCAGACACTTTATACAATGCTAGAAACTAAATCAGGTTTGAGTGAATATACAATAAACATATTTGATACAAAACTATCCATGTTTCCATTCCAAAGACTGCAAATATAACTGGGCTGTGAATCTAACAGGGACTGTGTGTAAAGGATATGGGAGGAGTGATTAGCCACAGGAAATATCCATTCCCACAATAGCAGACTGATGTATTGCAATGGGAAATGTCTTTATCATTGTTACTAGATTATGTGGTTGAGTCTGTTCAGGGCAGAAAGGGAAAGA